TCAGCATCTTTGTTCTTCAATTACAGAACAGGACATTCCTGACTGGTGAGCTTAATACCCATTGCTCACTTTTCACTTTCATATTCCTTAATCGTTTCTAATTTTGTTTCTAGGTCCACCATTCTTTTTAAAAAAACAAAACAAAATTTGAGACAGGATCTTAGTATGTCACCTTGGCTGGCCTGAAACTCATACAGATCTGTTTGCCTCTCAAGTGTTGGGACTAAAGGTGTGCACCACCACATTGGGCTCAGATCCATCATTCTTACTGGGAATATGGCAGTGGATTCTAAATGCTTAGTGGTCACAAAAGGCAGAAAGTCAAGTTCAACAGACCATTACATAGTCCACAGCTGGACCAAACCTAAGAACTGTAGACTGCTGCTATATAACAGGGCAGTGTACTTTATACAGTTATGGCACATATGACTGTGTTTGTTTTTCATGTGGCAAGGTTCTCTCTTTATAAATTTTAGAAACTTTCTAGGGTATTCTGATGTCTGGTAAGTCTAGATCTACCTTTGAGATTTTCATACTTTAATATTTTCATGTTTTGGTATTTTTTCTTCCTCTATCCCCACCCAAGGGATTTTTAAATATTATGTCTGACTTATGCCAAAATATTAGTGTTATTTTAATTGAGAATTCATTAAATTAACTAAGGGCTGAAGATGTAATTCAGCTTAAAGTAAACAAAACCTAGGTTCTATTTCCAACACCTGACAAACTAAGCATGTCCACAAAAGCCAGTATCACCAGCTTTCCAGAGGTGTCAGGAGGTTCAGAAATTCAAGGCTGTTTCTGGTAACCTAGCCTGTTTGAGGACAACAACTTGAGTTACACAAGACTCTGTCTCAAAAGCAACAATAGAGATTTTATTAACTTAGGAAGGACAGCTTGATATTGAGATGATGTCTTAACTGTAATGTTTTATAGCTTGTTTCACACACATTTATCACATTTTTTCGCTTTCTTTAGAGAGAGGGTCCCAGTATTTAGATTAAACTCAAGCTCAGAGACCTATTTGTCTCTGCTTCCTGAGTCCTGAGTGCCACCATACCCAGAAACAATTCTTTTCTAAAATGGTATTTTATTATCTTAAATTATGTATACCATGTGTGTAGGTATATACACATTGAGTATGAATGCTAGTGGAAGCTAAGGAGTCACATCTCCTGGGAACTGGAGTTACAAGCAACAGCGAGCCATCTGTTGTGGGTGTTGAGAATTGAAATTGGGTCCTTTGCTAGAGCAGTGTGTGTTGAGCCATCTCTCTATCCTCAATAATCATTAAAACAAGTTTGAGAGGGAATGAGCACAATACTCATGAACAGGTCGATTCTTCCTCTTGCAGAGTCCTATCAGTTTTTATAAGTATCTCACAAATACAGGTTGAGTATCCTTTATCTTTCTCTCTTTTTGTTTGCTAATTTGTTTTTCAAGAAAGGGTTTCTCTGTGTAGTCCTGGCTTTCCTGGAATTTGTTCTGTAGACCAGGCTGGCCTTGAACTCAGATACACCTACTTCTGACTCCTAAATGCTGGGATTAAAGGCAAAGGTGTGAACTGCTTAATTAAATGAGAAGTGTTTCAATTCTTGAAAGGGAATGTATCATATAGTATAGGTTAAATACTTTATGTAAAATGCTTGTGAGTATAAAATTTTCAGATATAAAAATCAGTTTTCTTGGGGAGATCCAAATCTAAGCATACAAGAATATGTTTCATATACATAAATATTACTTTATTTTTTAAAAATCATTTGTCTTTTGAGATAGTTTCATTCTGAGCCCACCATGGCCATTTCAGTTTTGTGGCAGTCTTCTTGCCTCAGCGGTCCTAAGGTGGACTACAGGTATGAGTCACCAAGCCTGGCTTCTATTAGTATTATTGATAGTATTATTGTTTAAGACTCACTAAGTCTTTTTTTTTTTTTTTTTTTTTTTTTTTTGTTTTTTGAGACAGGGTTTCTCTGTGCAGCCCTGGCTGTCCTGGAACTCACTCTGTAGACCAGGCTCGCCTCAGAAATCCACCTGCCTCTGCCTCCCAAGCGCTGGGATTAAAGGCGTGCGCCACCACTGCCTGGCAAATAATTTGTCAAGTTTTTTTTTTTTGGTTTTTCAAGACAGGGTTTCTCTGTGTAGCCCTGGCTGTCCTGGAACTCACTCTTTAGATCAGGCTGGCCTCAAACTCAGAAATCTGCCTGCCTCTGCCTCCTGAGTGCTGGGATTAAAGGTGTGCGACACCACCGCCCGACTCAGTCTTAAACTTATTTTTTAGGTCAGATAGGCATTGGGATTTTTGAACTGCTACAGTTTCTAGAATAGCTGGGATTACAGGCCTGTTCTACTAGCCCTGTTTTCTCATATTATTTGCTTCAGACATGGTTTCATACTGTAGTTTAGCCTGGCCTTGAACTTGTGGCAATCTTCCTACCATTTAAGTGTAAACGCCTAGTCTAATTTTTTTTTTAATTTTAAAGACAAAGTCTCATTAGGTAGTTAAGGTTGGACATGAACTTGAAATCCCCTGCCTTAGCCTCCGAAGTGCTGGCTGGTTACAGCCCTTTATCACCATGAACCTGGCTTGATATAGAAGTAATTTTAATTGCACCAATGTCTTCCTTTCTTTTCTTTTTTTTTTTTTTTTTGAGATAGCATCTCACTATGTAGCCTTGGAATTTGCCAGTGTAGACCAGGCTGGTCTTGAACTCAGAGATCCCCCTGCCTTTCTGCCTTGTATGCAGGGATTAAATGTATACTACCATGTCTGGCCCCTCCCCTTTTTGAGAATTTATTAGCATGAGTGATTTGCTTGAATGTATGTCTATGCACTACTTGTGTGTCTGGTGTCTACAGAGTCAAGAAGAGGGTATTGGATACTCAGACTTTGGGAAGACAGATGGCTTGTGAGGTGCTGGGAATCAAACCTAGTTCCTGAAAAGAACATCAGTGTGCCCTTGACTGGTAAGTCATCTCTCTAGCTCCTGCACTATGTTCTCACTGTGGACATCACTTCAGGTCAGTCAGGTCAAATATTCTACCTGTGTGCTATGGTGCTCAAAATGTTTTGAGTTTTTCGAACACTTCAGGTTTTAGATTTTTGGATCCGGGAAGGTCAACTTGTACTTAAGATTTTAGATCTTAGAGAGCTGGCAGTGTATACCTACCTGTAAGCCCAGCATTCCAGAGACTGAAACCACAAGGTCATCTTATGCTACACAGAGATACTAGCTCAAGGAAAAGCCTGGAAATTATGAACATTTCTGCACTTAATTTCTTTCACTGAGGATAGCATATGAGACTCATCTGTTACTACATATACAAATGGTCCCTTGCCTTTTATACTAAGCACTGTCCACTTCATCCACGTTTTACAGTTTATCTGCTCTCCACCTAGACTTGACTATGAATAACCGTCATTAAACTTTTTGTACAAGGTTTTCTGTGAACATACATGGTATGTCTCTTTATGGGGATTTCTTCTAAGACTCCCTAGAGAATAGTAGAAACCAAGGATAGTTGTGAACTCTATGTAGATAATGTGTACTCCTATACAGAAATACCTATGAATGAAGTTTAACTTATATACTAGATATACATTATCACTACTAAAATATTATAGCAATACAACATCATAAAAGCTATGTGAATGTACGTTCACAACAATCTTCCTGTGCTTCCTCTTCTGGTGATGACACTGCCGGTGCAATGAGATGAAGGGGGGCAATACGGATTTAGGCTACTATACACATAAAGGTGTTTGAACACAAGCTTGTGACACTTTAACAGTCTAATCAAGCTGGATAAGAAGTAATAGTTGGGATATGGAGAGTGCAGACCATGGATAAACTGGACAAAATATAAGTCATGACCCAGACATAACTATCTGAGAGAGTGTGAGACACTGGATGTTTCTTCAATTTTTTTTTTTTTTTAAGATAGGGTTTCTCTGTGTAGCCAGGGCTGTCTTGGAACTTGATCTGAAGACCAGGCTGGCCTCAAACTGAAGATGTGCCTGCCTCTGCTTCCTGAGTACTGGAAATAAAGGTGTAAGCCATTACCATGTGGCTGTTTTTCTTGAATCTTAAACTTGAGATGACAAAGTTCAGATTAGAAAAAAAGAGATGGCTGGATTTAGGATCTAGAAAGCTACTTAGCTCCTGCTGGTTTCTGTTTCATCTCACCATCAGGATCAAATACACAGTCTGATGAATGACTGGGTCCAAATTTCTATACTTCTGAGTCCAGTTTCTAGTTCTGTCAGCGTTACAATCTGGATGCCACCATTACTTAGGTCTCTCTTTCTTCCTTCCCTAAGGAACTATAACTCACTCCAAAGGCAGGCTAGAAGACAGCTTATAAGTAATTAGGAAACATACACTGGCCTAAAGGGTCTTAAAGATTATTATTGTTATTTAATTGTGCGTGTGCATGTATGTGTTTTGGAGAGTGAACCCAGAATCTTGCAAATGTTAGGCATGCACTGTCATTGAGCTACATTACTACACCTCTGGTGTAGTCATCTTGTCACAAAGCCTGATGGCCTGAGTTCAATCCCTGGGATCTGGATGTGGGGAAGGCTGCAAGTAGTCTTCTGACCTTCATCCATTCTGTGGCATGCACAAGCCCACACATGTACAGACACAAAATAAGCACAGATGGAATAAAAAGTCATGTAATTACTGAATAGAAGATAACCAGTACTAAATTAGATATACGTATACAAGGGGTACTTCTCCCATGTGTAACATAACTGGACATTAAAAATTTAAAGTCAAAAGCAAAGTAATAGATATTAGCCTATAAGTTACAATGTCAAACATCAGAAATATAAAAATCTACTAGACTTAGTATGTCTGCTCTATGACTAGGCTACAAAGTAGGGTAAATTAATTGGACTACAATGCTTTAAATAAACTATTATATATAAGTAGCTTTAAATGGGGTGGCAATTATACAGTGAAAAGGACATCTGGAAAGACATTGACAGTGCTACTCACTTTTTAATTGCAGTGATCATCACATCTCTGAGTGGAGGCTTACAGAAACCCTATGAAAAGAGTAAGACTTGATTCTCACCTAGTATTTCAGATGAAGAGATCAAAAATCTAAGACAGTAGGCAACTTGCCTTAAGAATAAAATGAATGGCCGGGCAGTGGTGGCGCACGCCTTTAATCCCAGCACTTGGGAGGCAAAGACAGGCGGATTTCTGAGTTCGAGGCCAGCCTGGTCTACAGAGTGAATTCCAGGACAGCCAGGGCTACACAGAGAAACCCTGTCTCAAAATACAAATAAATAAATAAATAAATAAAATGAACAAATGAATTCAGAGCCAGAGCTGGATCCCAACCAGTTTACTCACTTTGTTCAGACCTTGTTTTTACTATACTAAATTCTAAATTAACACTCGAGTCAGAGTGAAAGCAGAACGGAGCTCAAAATCAAACAGCGTTTCTCTAATTACTGATTTGGTAAGAAAAACTTTTTGGACACACATTTAATACCCTCTTGGCAGGGCTTGGTGCACACACCTAAAACTCCAGCAATGTGGAAGTGGAAGATTACACAAGTTCAGACTGGGCTATGAAATAAGAGCTTTGTTTTAAAAAACCAAACTAGATTGGGAAGTTGGTAGAGTATTTGCTGCCCAAGTACTAAGACCCAAATTCAGATTCTCCTGCAGCACGTAACAGACAGGTGTCTGTAATCTCACAGCTGCTGAAGGGGATACAGGCAGATCCCTGGAGTCTTTAGTTAGAAAGGCTGTCTCGAACTTGGGAGGCAGAGGCAGGCAGATTTCTGAGTTCGAGGCCAGCCTGGTCTACAGAGTGAGTTCCAGGACAGCCAGGGCTACACAGAGAAACCCTGTCTCGAAAAACCAAAAAAAAAAAAAAAAAAAGAAAAAGAAAAAGAAAAAGAAAAAAGAAAGGCTGTCTCACAAAGTATGTAGACAATGATACATAAGAAGAAAACACCCAATCCCAACCTTTGGCTTCTACATACATGCATCTGTGTGTGAGACACACTGAGACACACACACACACACACATGAGAGAGAGAGAGAGAGAGAGAGAGAGAGAGAGAGAGAGAGAGAGAGAAGGGAAGGGAGAGGGAGAGAGGGACAGACATAGATAGAGACACACATAAGAGACAGAGAAATCAAATAAGACCAACAACAGGTTATCAGACCTTACTGTAGGTCTACTGAATAACCACCTCCAGGAAAGGTGTATTTTAAACTCGTCTTTAAGAGATGAACCTAGTGATTACACTGTACCAATACCTGCATACCCAATTTGGAAGAGATATGACTGTTTAAATTGACATCAAATAAGAACAGTATGATAAAATATTGAATGCTTCCGTCCATTAGCTACATTTTTGTTTGTTTGTTTGTTTGTTTGTTTGTTTGTTTTCGAGACAGGGTTTCTCTGTGTAGTCCTGGCTGGCCTCGAACTCAGAAATCCGCCTGCCTCTGCCTCCCAAGTGCTGGGATTAAAGGCGTGCGCCACCACTGCCCAGCCCGTCAGTATGCTTTCTAGCAAAGCCAAAAGACGAAACTTTTCTTGAAGGTGGAAGGAAGGTTCTTAATAAAAAAGATTAAGAAACAGTAAGCTCTCGTCTGCTGATGCAGTGTCAGTTAATAAGAAATATCGAGCACTCACATGCCCTAGACTCAATCCCCATCACTGTAAAAGTGGTACATGTCTATGAACCACCATGAACGCCAGGCCAGTAAAACATGCATTTTTTTTTTAAAGTAAGAATAAAAGTTATCTGGAACCTTTAAAGATACCTATTATGACCTACTAGAAGATAAATCTAAGGGTGGAACAACTTAAAAATCTTTTGGCTTTATCCATTTATTGGTTATGTATTTGAAACCCAAAGACTAAAGACAACTTGCTGTCTTGCATTTTATGTTGTTTTTGTGAAATGGGGGCTTTACTATACAGTCCAAGCAAAGCTGTATCTTCTGTAGCTTGGGTGGTGGAATTAAGAGGCATGCACCACTATGTCTGGCCTAGACAGACAAGGATACAATTGTAAAGAAATTGTAAATTCAATTGTAAGAAATTGTCATTCAATTGTAAAGATGAAAGTTGAGAAGTAATGAGCAAGTCAAAACAGCTGACTTCTCCACAGTTTTAGGATGTGGTTATTCAAGTCACCTGAGCAGTTCTGGCTTTCAGTTATTTAGTACTTTAATGGTTATAACATTAACATGCTGTTTACTGCAATTTTGCCTGAGTTCGAATGCTGTATTATAACACAATTTAAAATAATTTGTTTTGTTTTTATTTACAAAACTAAGGGATGAGAGGAACACCTGAATATCTGGGGAGACTGAGATAGTAAGATCCCTGTATAGCTAACCATAAAAAAACACAGTAATGACCTCTTTAAAAATAAAACCAGTTGTTCCTGTCTAGTATGTTTAGCATGCAAATGCTTTTAAAGTCAGTCAAATTATTTCATGACAGTTCATGTTTAAAGTTAGCAGGAAAAAACTTTGGAAGGCCATACTGACTGAAACTTTGAAGATGTGCATAAAGAACTCTAAGTTTCACAGCTAGGATTCAAATACATTGCTAAAATACTAGTGAATAGCCCTGAGAGAAAATGGATGCTTTAGTTCACATAGTTACAAAAACGGTTAGAAACCCTGGCTCACTAGAAGACATTATGAATAGTCACTTATTGGAGACAGCGTCTGCTCTAATCTGCAAGGCATTTGCAATGCTTGAATATGGGGTTCCATATAAATAGAAGCTATTTGTTATTCAGAAGAGGTGGTGCAAAAAACAGCTATTTTCTTTCTAAACACTCCTTGGTGTTGAGGTAAACAGTCTGAAACACACAAGAGCAGCCTTTACCACAGAGTGGGGAACTGGAAGAAGTTTGCTTTCCCAGTAAGTATCAGGAGTTACTACTGGAAGTTAAGCACATCAGTGGGGGCCAATACATATTTGCAAGTTAACCACCAAGTTCTAAGTTCTGGTGCACATATTAATGTAAGGGGGATAAAAGATATTAAAAAGTCAAAAGCAAACATTAAATTGTAATAAACATTCCAAGTCTGATTTAAGATAAAATTCTTAAACACACACACACACAAAGAGGTGGGGAGGATGGGCGGGCTCCCCGCTGCCAATCTTGACGACCTGGGTTTGATTACTAGTTCCCACTGGGCATACGGTAAGATGATTACCTCCACCTGTTTTCTGACCCTCCCCCCCACCCCTCACAGCAGGAAGAGGTTTGCTTTCCCAGTAAGTATCAGGAGTTACTACTGGAAGTTAAGCACATCAGTGGAGGCTAATACATATTCGCAAGTTAACCACTAAGTTCTAAGTTCTGGTGCACATATTAATGTAAGGGGGATAAAAGATATTAAAAACCTGTCCTATCTTATAAATAAATAAACTTTACAAAAAGCATTTGTGAGTTAGGGTCTTCCTTTTGGAGGGGGCATGGGTTTGCAAAGACCACAAGGCAAAAATGATGAGAAGGAATAGTTTTGATCTTGTGTCTTCCAGGTATTGTATTTATCAGTTTCAATACTATTCCTCCCCCCGACCCCGGCCCAATTTTAGGCGTTCTTAGGAAAAGTGATTTAGGCGAAAGGCAAATAATGTACATTGACAGTACCTAAGATATGGTGTTAAAAATGTCCTAATCTCAAAGAGGAATACCTGTGAAACAGTCATGAAACACCCACGTAGCAGTTCCCTAGCTTCCCAGGGAATAGTTTCAACCATTTTTAGTCATGGAAGCAGCACACTTGATAGGGACCCAGCAAAGTTTTCAGTTGGCCTTCACCGTCTCTTTACTCTCCCCAACCCCCTTCCTCCACTTCCCTGATGTTCTTTCCTGGCACACAAAATATAGGCCAATGAGCAGTGGGTGGGTGAGGAGGATGTGAGAACAAATTTGAGAAGTAAAAAAGGGAGCAACTTAACCAGGACATGACATGAATGAGACTGAAGGGTCTAATAAGGGCAGGCAAGTGAGTATCAGAGAGACTGAAAGAAAGCGAAGGTGCTTTCCTAAGCTGCAGTGCGTGTTACATGGATGTAGGGTTAAGTAGAGGTCAGACTACCTACCACTCGTCAGAAGCTGGACAGGGGCGGCTGCTTTGGGTGACTTCTAGTGTCTCTTCCGACTCTGAAATGTTAGGATTTCTTTTTCACAAAGGAGAACGTAAGGATGATGGAAGCCCTCTGACTTAGAACCCTGAAGTAGCAGCCTTGGCGGCTGACTCCCCAACACCACTCCTACGCCTCCCTCCCACACGTGCCCACCCCGCCCCCTTTCAGTATCAGCACCTCCACGTGCAAAATGCCTCCCGGCACTGCTCTACAACAGTGGGCTCCGTCCCCTGCCAATCCCTGAAACTCTGTATGCTCCTGCCCCCCATACCCCAGAGAAGAGAGGACACTACTCTCCCACCCTTGGCAGCTAATAAAAGGAAAAGTCTCCTATCTAGTCTTTCCCTTCAAGAAGAACGGGTTGTGGGGAGCAGAGGAAAAACTTTCTTCTCATGTTTTTCAGTCCCTAAGAGTGGAGAGAATCCTAAGTCAGGGGTTGAGGGGGGGAGGGGAACCCCTGAACGTTTAACGGCCAGTAGGGGGAGGGGAGCTCCGGAGATGGAGGGGGCGTGGGATGAAGAAGCAGGCCCGCGAGCGGGGTCCCGGAGCTGCGGCGTTCCGGGGGCCGGGCAGCTGCAGGCGTCCCCCCCCACCTGGCACACAAAGCGGCTGCTGCGCTCGGCTCTCACCAGATCCTTTGTGTTTTCCATCAGGGCCTCATGGGTAGGGGCCGTCCGTGCTCCCCGAGCCCGCGGCGCCCCCTCCCCCCAGAGCAGGGGGCGGGCGCCTTTCCCCGGGACTGCGGCGACTACAGGGGGGGATCCCCGGCTGGGCTAGGGCCAGTGGCAGCAGTGGCAGCCCCCAGATTTCCCCCCTTTAACTCGGGTGGCCCCAGGATATCAACAACATTAGCATAGCCCTCCCTCCCCAGCGCGCCTGCGCCGTGACCCGCGCCCCGATTGGCCCACTTCCCCACGTACCCTCCTCTCTCCCCTCCAGCGTGGGACCCTCTGCAGGCTCCGTACTCTAAGGACCGTACCAAGACCAGAAGTCGATGAGGTAATGAGGGCTCGCGGTAAAACTCGGGGCTCAGAGTCAGCAGGAAGAGAAGTTTCTTTCAGCCACTTTCATTTGTACTCTGGCCTTCCTGAGTCCCTTCCAAGATGTTGCCTCTGAGAAGTTGTGTTGGGAAAAAATTTCCACTCCAGTCACGCCGCTTCCCCCTACACCCGGAAGATTGGCCTTCCCAGAGGAACTCCCACACGGGGAGGGGCTGCCGGACTGAGTGGGAGTGACGTAGCGCTCGAGTGTCGGTCACGTGGCTCGAGGCGGCGCAGGCTCCTTCCGGCTCCCCGGGGCCGGGCCGCGGCGACGAGCGAGACGCCCTGGCACATGCGCAGTGGTGCTCCACGTGAACGGCTGCGTTTCTCCTCAGACTTGAGGATGCCGCCTGAACGTAGGAGCCGGACGAAACGAGACCGGAGAGCCGACGCAATGCCGGGGAGGAAAGCCAGACCCAGGAGCCGCAGCACGCCCGGAAAGGCCGCCCGTTCATCCCAACGGACACCGCCGGCCGGGCCGAGGGCGGCCCCTAGCGCGGTATGCGCGGCGGCGGCGGCGGAGGAGGAGAGTCGGCTCCGGCAGCGGAACCGCCTGACGTTAGAGGACGACAAGCCGGCCGCCGAGCGCTGCCTGGAGCAGCTTGTCTTCGGCGACGTCGAGGACGACGAGGACGCGCTGCTGCAGCGGCTGCGGAGCTCGCGGGTGAGGAAGGCCTGCTTGCTGAGCGGGCACACGCTCCGGCGGGGCGCGCGGCGGGAGGCGAGACCCCGGGGGCGGAGCCTGGGGGACCTGTGGCGGCGAGTGTTCAGGTGGGAGGGACCAGCGACCGTGGGCGCCGAGGGGCGCCGTTGCGCTCTCCGCCTCTGGTTCTGGGCTGCGAGCTGGCGAGGGCGGGGACGCTGCCTTTCTCCGCCCCAAAGGGGCTGCCGCACTTAGCATCCAGCAGGCGCTCAACTGCTGGCTTGGTTTGCCCAAGGTTGTCTGTCTGCAAAGGAGAGTCGCGCATCTTCGGGCTCTTACACCCTCTGCTGGAACCACAGGGGTGGCCGTTTGATCACCTGTCGCGACTCTGTGTAGTGGATGGAACCAATACATGGGCAGAAGGCTAAAGCTGCATTTTAACATCACTGGGAGATACCCACGCCCAACTTTTGGGAATCATCAGTGTATTCATTCGCCTGTAACATTTCTTTGGATGCTTACTCTTTGTATCAATTGCAAATCCTTCGTGATTGATAATTTTTGCACTATTTTGTTCTCTACCTGGCCTTTGGACTAAGGGTAGAGATAGTGTAGAGACACAGCAATGGAGAAATCCAACAAGAACCCCTCTCTTGGAGCTTGTGTTAGTAGTGGTAGGAAAACAAGATAAACAAGACTAGTAAAGCTAAGGTTTGATGATGGAGAGAAACATTAAAACATTTGAGAAAGGGATGTGAATGTGTATGTGAAGACATCTTTTGGATAGGGTAAGTGGACTACCTAAATGGGATTATCAGCGTTTGCTTAGTTGACCCTCTGTGGGTGCTTTGATGGAGAGCTGCAGCAGCCTCCTCTGGGAGATGGAGGACAGTTATGTTAGGACAGTTCTGTATCCAAAGGAATCCTTTGATGGGCTTTGAAAGATCTTAAGTCAGTAGTGCAGGTGGATACTGCAGTTGGCTCCTTGGACACTGTCCTGTGGGTTGGGAGAAAGCTCAGATCATTTGAAGGGGATTTTTTGTTTGTTTGTTTTTGAGTGCTGGGTTTAGGTTTTGAGTGTAGTATAAAGTTTGAAGAAGATGGAGACGGAGCACATAGAACAAAAGATCCTCCTCATGACAATACGTGACACAGATTATGTTGTGTGGGATTCCAGGCTCTGGGTTCTGTAATTGTTGAGCTTTGATGTTTGTTCTTTGCTTGTCCGCTTACCTCTTACCCTTGTCTACTGCGGTCTTTAGCTTTCAGTGAGTTTTTCCCCCCTATCCTTGGCTGTTCCATCCTACCTTTTCCTGTCCTGGTGGTTCTGATGTCCTGTCCTGCTTTCTCCTTCATGTGCTGTGGTTGTATTCTATCCCATTATTTCATCAGTGGACCAGGAGAGCAAAAGTGTTCTCCAGGCTGTCTAAGTATAAAGGGTGGGTGTGTGCTGGCACCTTGTAGGAAGTTGCAGTGGTTTGAAGATGATGTGTCTCTGTAGGGTCAGCTACATGAAAGCTCAGATGACTCAGAAGTGGAAAATGAAGCAAAAGACAGTCTTTCTCAGAAGAAGAAGCCAGTTTGGGTGGATGAAGATGATGAAGATGAGGAAATGTAAGTGAGCCATTCTGTTCAGAATTCCTGGACACTTTAATAAAAGTTAACTTGTAGATTTTTATGAATCACTGCCTTGGAAAGTATGATTATATGAAGAACCAAAACATTTGGCAGCACAGAAAAAGATGGTTTATAATTCTGTGTCTGAGAGAAAGGTCCTCACTGTTACATTGCACAGGTCATTCCCTGTCTATTGTGCAGGATAGACTGCTGAAATAATCATTTCAGTTACATCTTAGCTTCCTTCCTCATGACCACCAAGGGCAGGTTTGGAATCTACCTCTTTGTAAAATGCATGTCAGAACAGTAGTTGTAGCAGAAGGCCATTAGACTAAATGATTCGTATACATTTCTAGCATGGTGTCTGGACCTTGAGTAAAGGTTTCAGATAAAGCTAGCACACTGTATTTGAGTATATACTACATGTCCACTTTAATAGTTTTACTTTTTCCATGTAAAGTTATATTGGAAGCAAGGGAGTTGTTTCTTGTGTGAATCAAATGAAATTTAATGAACAAATGAATTTTTCTATTTTTCTGCTTTAAGAATGTGAACAAACATATTTATGAATAAGCTTTTTTGTATTTCTAGTTTCCTAAAGGTTCGTTGGGTGTAGTATTAGTTGAACAGAGACTAAGGACGTATTTTTCCCATGTAAAGTAATGAATTTCAGTTTTATGATCAGTGAGTTTTTTTTTTTTTTTTTTTTTTTTTGGTGTTCTATGGACTTTCTTAATTTGACAATAGGAAAACAAGCCTTCTTAAACTGTGTTGAGGAAACTTGATGATAGTTACATGTGTGTATTATATACACTCTTTGTTATCTTTGTTTATTAGAGATCTTAGTGTCTCAGATTTACATATTAAGAATTTCAAACTTTTATTTGCTATAGATTGAACCCAGGTATGTGCGTGGTAAGGATAAAGTTGCTATTGAGCCTTATTCCTTCTTAAAGCGAGTGTTTACTGCATGTTTTCTTTACTTTTTTTTTTTTTCTTTCTATTTTTTTACTTTTCAAGCCAGGGTCTCACTGGGTAGCCCTGGCTGTCCTGGAACTCACTCTGTATATCAGGCTGGCCTCAGACTCAGAGGTTGGCCTGCTTCTGCCTCTTAAGTGTTTTTTCAGCCAACTTCTTTCACCTCTCCTATTTATGCGCAGAGATTTTCAAGTTTTAGATAGTCAGATCTTTAAATCTCTTGAGTTTTTGTTTTTACTCTTTTTTTAACTGTAAAATGCCACTTATTAGAAAGGCTATCGCTTGCCAATAAAATACAGGCAGTATTTGATTGTTTGCTTTTTTGTGTATTTGACTTGCCCAGGATATTTTGGAGAGAGACTTTAATAGTGTCTAGGTAATTCAGGATTAATTTTCTCAGATATCTCCAGAATGTATGAGAGACTCCAGAGAAAGAATGGGAAAGGTCTATGTGAAACATGCCATATCCTACACTATTTTACTTTAGTGTTTTAGTAAATGTTTTTCAGAATACTAAAGGCAGCTCTTTACAGGTCATTTAGAATATGTTTGTTCTTTACTTCATAGAGTTGACATGATGAACAATCGGTTTCGGAAGGATATAATGAAAAATGCCAGCGAAAGTAAGCTTTCAAAGGATAAACTTCAAAAGAGACTTAAAGAAGAGTAAGTATCCTTTCTCCTGTGATTTACCAAGAGGAATATAAACAGCCATTTGTTTTTTTTTGCTTTGCTTTTGGCTGTAATGCCTTTTTGGATAGTCATATATTCCATGAAAAGTAGGCATTACTTGCCTGGTGACTTCATGTAAGTGTTTTGGGCAGCAATTACAACAAATAAAGATAATTTGAAGAAAAAATGCAAAACTTGAAATGCTATCACTTAAATATAGTCAGAAATACTGATACATGGTCATTCATTTGTATGTAGTAAGTCCACTCTTTTTTTTGGGGGGGGGGGGTTCGAGACAGGGTTTCTCTGTATAGCCTGGGCAGTAAGTCCACTCTATTAAGACCCTTTTTTTCGCTGAGACAGGATCTTACTGTATAACCCAATCTAACCTCAAAATTCTAGATTCTCCTGCCTTAGCCTACTGAGTACTGGAGTTATTGGTAAGCACCACTATGCTTGCCTTTCACCAGGATATGAAAAATTTACAAAAATGGAAGTACCCATTGCATATGGGTTCAATTTAAAAACAAAACAAAACTTTTACCCCATTAGCTTTATTTATTTGAGTATTTGTATTTTTATAATCTGTGAGAGTAAGATGTAAATGATGGACACTTTATGTCTGAATTCCTCAGTGGAATCAGTAACCATTAAGGTCAAGATTTTCTTTCATGTTCAGTATCATATTTAAGAAACTAGTAGCTGACCAATTAATATTATTAAGTTCTCTTGACTCTCATAATCCACCAACATACTTACCTTCATTACTTTTTTTAAGCATGATAATTTCACTATTTGTTTTTTAAAAACATTCACTCTTTATTGTGTATGAGAGGTCAACAGACAACTTTCTGGAGTCAGAAAGTTTTCTCTTTCCACCATATGGGTTCCAGGGACTGAATTTAAGTCATTAGGCTTGGTG